TGTACTCAGCACATCGAACTTCCCACTGCACACGCGCACGCGCGCACAGACGCACGCACACACACACACATTTGTATATCCTCATCATATTCATGTGCGATGCCAACTGGCATAGGTGCTTATGCGTCTCCACAGATCAGGATCCCTGGTTGCCTTGAACAGCTCTCTTGATAATACCCCTCCATGCATCGTTTCAGCCCATCTAGCATCCTCTCTCTTGGTCTGCCTCTATCCCTTTTCCACTGATCTTTCCAGTTGTCACGATGTTTTCCAGTGTCGCTCTTCTCATTATGTGGCCAAAGAACAGTGTTTGATTTATATATATATATATATATATATATATATATATATATATATATCGTTATCAACTGAGCCGCATGAATAGGTTATTATGCATAAAAAATATACATATCCAGCTAACAGACCTTTCGTTGTCTATTTACATGAGGGCCGTCTCAATGAACGTTACGGAACCACTTGCAATGCCCAGTATAGAAGCCAAACTGATCAATCACGAATTACTACCCAGTATAAGATCATCATCTTATGCTGAGTGACTTAATGAATCGTTTTCTCCTGGCAAGTCGAACAGCAGCATCAGCAATAGTGGGTAGACGTAAGCAAGTCTCTCAAGTCTCTGTCACATGACGACTCTGAGATACAAGCCTACTGCAAAAAGGTGGATTAGACTGGTGGAATGTTGTCATATTTACAGACGAGATTTGATTCAACTTATCTTTTGCTGATGAACGTATAAGGATTTAGTGACGGGATGAAGAGCGCTTGGCAGATTGCTGTTCGTCGTCACAGCCGATTTGGATTTGGCAGTATTCACATTTGTGTTTCAGTTCTCGCCATCGCTTGCCTCTTGAAATCTTTCCTGTAAATGTTCATTCTGTGACATATCGAGATGAGGTTCTGAGTGGTTGCTCCCGCGTTTACAAATTATCCAGACTTGCAGTTTCTCCAGCAGGATAACGTACGTTCGCATACCACAGACATTATGCAGCAATGTCTACAGCATCAGAACTTTGTGATCATTAATTGGCCAACCCTGTCACCGGACATGATATCTATAGAATATCTGTGGGCTGGGATTAGAGGCAGAGTCCACAGGCAAGTGCCTGAAGCTAATCGGTAACAACTGGAAGATGCTCTTACATGTGAATTGGACTTGATTCTCCTAATTTTTCTTGAGAGACGTGTGTGTTGCATGAGAAGCCACAGCCAAGCTCATCTGCAAGCACACAGTGGACACACCAGATACTCAAGCTAGTGTGAATGAATGGATTCAAAGGGAAATTAATAAAGATTCTATATATGAGTTGAGTTGAGTCAAGAATTGACATCACAGCACTCGGGGTATTCCCATGAGTGCTCCGTCCTCATCTTCAGCAGCCAGCGCAGAGTTCCAAAACTGATGGTACCGGTCACAATCTGGTTAAAAGTCCGTCTTGCCTTTCCTCTGAGTGTTGTGAGCCGGCCAGACCCTCTGATTACACCCAGGTGTCCCATCTCTCCAGGTCATAAGAATCTTGTTTCTCTACTAATTCCGTTGCTTGTTCCCAAAAGGCATTGACCACATCTTCCTTGTCATGTATCAATTCCCCACCCAGTGGTGTGGATCCATCCAATTTGTCTGCCTGTTCATTACCCACCATGCCGGCATGGTCTGGAGAAAAGATCCAAAGTATGCACACCACCCGTGACCTTTCCAGTGAAGCTAGCCACTCTGCTCGAAGCATCCCCGTCTTCACCTTTTTCAGCATACTTTCAGAGTCTGTTAGATTCTATATATGTAAACTTGTAAACATTTATATTTACATACCACACTCTGTTCCTGGATTATATATACAGTGGTATGTGCGATTCATAAATATATAATTATTCTCCTATTGTATAGCCCCGCTTCTTACATGGAAAATGGCCTGTACGAAAAAGTTCAAATGTGAACAAAAGAAACATGTTTTTTACTAGTTGTGCGTGACCTGCTTCTGAATCTGTTCAAGATCCAATAGTTTTTTGGGTCATTTTTTGTCTTCAAAGACATAAATTACAGTTTGTTGAAACGTAAAATACGAGACAAACATTACCTTTTTTTTTTCTGAGAGAGAAATATTTATTATTCTACAAGTTGAACGTCGTTTTATTCTAAACATTGATAATACAATAAATAGCGAAATATATGTGTAAGATAAAGTTTTTAACTTTACTTTCAGAGATTTTTATTCTGTGAGAATTTGGACATTGTGGTCATATGATTATCTAGTCCAAGATGTGTTAGATAATGATTTTACCTGATTGTTCAGTTATTTAAGAACCATTAAGAGAATGCAGGTCTCACTAATGATAAGTAGGTCTGTAAAAGAGGGTGGTCATAAGATTATTTAGTCCAAGATGTGTTAGTCACATAATGATTTTATCTTATTGTTCACTTATGTTAAAACTATTAGAGGAAAGTAAGTCTCACCAGGTAAGTATGGGTTCGTCAGTAAACGACCCTTTTCAGGCACCTTGGGTATGTAATTCCAAATTAAAATTTTTACAATGGATCTGTCAGCATTTATTAGATGAAGGGGAGAGAAGCACGTTGTCCGTCTTTACACCCCTGTACCTTTACTGATGCCAGTTGTAGGTTGGGTCGACCAAGATGAATTATTTTTTTTTAAAAAATGGTTTAAATAATAATCTATGAAATCCCAAGATTTAAAAGAAGATTTCAGGTTGAACGGCTTAATGTAAATGAACAATGCGAGAGGAAGAGTTTACAAAAGTGGTTCACCATGTATAAAGTAGTCTGGGAACGAATGGTGAATTGCCTGGTAGTGATAAAAGTTGCCATTAACGTCTTCATAAATACAGTCATGGTTGAAGTCGTCCCCATATTAAAGCCCTATCCTAGCTTTTGTCGGTGGCCGCAATATAGCCTGACGTTTGAATGCGGTTTCTGGGGCTTCTGCACGGGTGATACTCATCCATATGGTGGCACTTTGTGTCGCCAGGTGTTTATCGCTCTGTGTGATGTCCTGGTGGAGTCAAATTTCCTTCTTTACAATCATGTTTTGATTTTGTCAACAAAATATACGGGTGTAATGTTTAACATAACACACATGTTGCATCTCCATAAGAAGTAAGGAATGTAAGTTCACTTGTAAAGAGACGTTCCTAGAAATATGGGCAGGTTAGAGCGCTGATGCTTATGTCGGCATGCAATGGTCTAGAGCTACCTTCGCTGTTCCAAACCTAAGATTAATGTTAAAACACATGTGTTACGTTACACATGATACATTGAGCCTGTATGTTCTGTTGACAGTTAAACTTACAAATGATGGTATTTGTGAAGAATTAAGGGCACCTCTATTACAACCAAGCAATTTCCCATAGGTTCCTTGATAACTTTATACATTGTGAACCATTTTAAAACTTTTCCTCTCGTATTGTTTATTTACTGTAAGCCGTTCAATCTGAAATATTATTTTAAGTATTGGTATTTTATAGCTTATAATTTAAACCATTTAGATATAATTATTGTTTTTATAAAGTTATAAAAGAAATAAAGTATTGTGGTAACAGCTATAAGTTTGCGACTGTGGCGGTTACAGAAAGGTAAAATCTAGATGAATGACTTTATTGAATCACGTGTTAACAACATAGCTCGGTCTATCTCCACAGAACCGCTACCCGCCTGCCAAGAGCGTCGCACAAAACACAAATTCCGTACATCCAGCTATGATCTAAATAGATTTCCATCAAAACTGCATTTGCAAATTTCACGACGCGGCCTTGAATCGAACCCATGACCTTCAGGGCGTCAGATAAACGATGTGATCACTTCGTCACGGAGACCTGTTCAGCCAGTGTGCTAAACTCGTGTACAAGCTGGAGTTCGTGTAGACATGTATCCTATATGTTTATCATCATCATCATCATCATCCAGCTGGTCTCTTACAGAGCGTCACTTTCGTTACAACACACATGAAAGTCTTTCTCCAGCCTGAGCGCTTTCATGGCCAGTGCAGCGTCAGTATCCTGTATCCAAATTCACGGACATCTGCCTCTGCCTCTGCCTCTGCCTCGTTTTCTGGAAACAGTACCCTCCATCACCGCTCTCTCTCCAGGGCACCAATAACATGGTCAAAATACCTCAGCTGTCTGTGTAGAATGTTGTTTATGGGCCAATTTTCCTCGCTGCTGGGATCACGCAGAAAGGACAACGGCATTTTTCCTCGTCTTGTTCCATGATATTCTAGGAACTACCGATATATTCAGTGAACTTTCAAACATAAACACACCGGTATTTTTCTGTAGATATTAAATTGATGTAGCATATTAACAGTTAACCTCAGACCTACCGGTTTTTATCTAGACGTTTCCAGACATTTGAGAACGCATGACAACGCCTTAGTTCCAATCACTTTATTGCTCTCCTGTTTCTTCTGCTTTTGCCCTTTAAAAAAGCCAGTCCAGATGCCATGTTGGGCTTTTCCTCTATGCTGCTATATCTGCGTCTTTCGACCTAACACGTCCGATTTGATTTGATTCAAGAACCAACATCACAGCACTCGGATCATTCCCCATCTTCAGCAGCCAGCGAAGAGTTCCGATACTAATGGTGCCAGTAGCATTCTGATTAAACGTCCGTCTTGCCTTTCCTCTGAGCCTCGAGCATCTGCCAGAACCTCTCGTCATTCTCCGCGCCAACAATCTCAACAGACTGTGGTGATCCATCTGCTCCTCCGAACTGTACACGCTCTCCCGCAAGGAAATAACCACGTCCGATTTTGAGAGAACTCTAGCTAGTCCAATTTTACATCATGCTTAGGAAACAGTGGGTCTATTGTCCTGCTCCCTCCCCTTGCCCCTATGAGGCTCTGAAATCTTCATTAGGATATGTAAACGTTGGTCTTGCCTTTCTAATGCTCCCCTGGACAAACCACTGCACTTTTCTTGTGTAATAGTTCTAAAAAAGGCTGAATTTGTTGTGTAATAAAAAATCAACAATGAGTGTAGAACGCCAAATTCCAAGCACACAAGACTTCAACAGAAGACCTATTATCAAGAACCATAAATGCAAGTTAGTCGCCAAAGTAACAGACGACAGTGTGGAAACAGACTTGCGACAGCTGTACAGCACTGAATTTCTCAATCATCAGTCGTTTGAAGTTGAGGTATGTATTTTTATCATCATCGTATTCTTTGTCATCTTTGTTATCGTCATCATTATCATCGCCTTGCCTACGGCATCTATCATCAGTGATATCCAGCAGTATGACCCGTTTTTTGTTCCGGGAAAATAAAACCTAGCATGCTATTTGGGGGGCAACCAATAATGTCAACAGCTTTAAGATGGTGCTAAACTTGACATTGCTGGTTCAGCAAAGAATCATCAAACAGGCATTAAAATGGGAAATAAAGTTATCGAGGAGGCGAGGACGCCCAAAAGAAACCCTAAGACAGGTGTTGACGAGAGAGGCCGAAGCTGCTGGACTAGATTCCATATATTATATTAAACTGATTGCACAGAATACAACGAATAGATGAATAGAATGGGAGCCCTATGTTAAATATAATGGAACGACAGAATAATTATTTTTAGAAAGCTCGTATCACAAACCTTTTCCCCAAACATTAGCCTTTGTTATCATCTTCAGCCAGAAGGTCCATTTTTCTTTCGTCCGTTTAATCACACAAAGGACATATTAAATTATAGAGCAAAAAATTTATAATAAAATTTAAATAGGTTTAGACGACGGATCAATATGATGATGTTAACACCCACAAGCGGTACAAGTCGTCCACTTCTGGGATGTAATTTTACGTTATTTTAAATCCCCACCCTGGTTGTTGCCGGGTGCCAGTAATATAACCTAACGGTTGAACGCGGTTTCCGGGACCCCTCCATGGGTAATTCTCATCCGCTTTGTGTCAACGGGTGTTTATCGCTTTGTGGAATGTCCTGGTGTGGTAAAAGTTTATTCAATTACATCATGGCACAAAGGTAGTAACCTATAAGTGCTCCGTTCTACTTCTGACTCAAGCCTGAGCCCGAAGAGTCTCTGCGCAGTGCACGAACTCCGTAGCACCGGCGAGAATCATGAAGTACTTTCAATTTAAATAAACAGTATTGCTAACATTAATGCTTTATAATCTTCGTACATGTAATAGTGACATCCCTAAAAATAATAGATAATGCGTATTTTAAAGACAAATTAAAAATAGACCTGCTCTTATTTTAGGGGAAACTATCACTCAGAGGAAAGGCAAGAATTGATACAAGTTCGACTGGAATTGAAACTGAGCACTGGCAGCTGAATATGTAGACGGGACACTTATAGGTAGACGGGACACCTATAGGTAGACGGGACACTTATAGGTAGACGGGACACCTATAGGTAGACGGGACACCTATAGGTAGACGGGACACCTATAGGTAGACGGGACACTTATAGGTAGACGGGACACTTATAGCAATGTCTGGAGTGACGAACACGAGGTTGCAACAAGGAGCTGCCAAGCATGAACATTTCGCGAAAGGCAACCAAAAAAAAAAAAAACACTGTTTGATCCACACAGAACAGGCGTGACCATTCGCATTACGATTGTGGAGATACTGAGGGGAAGACTGAAGCACCTATGGATCTGTTCGGGCAGTTGTTATTATGGTTCTCATTAACAGTTTATTCCTGTACTGACATTTTCCCAGGTTTTGAAACAACAAAACTAAGCCATAATCTTGTTTCCTTAACCTTATCTTTGTTCCTTTTCATACGTTTTTCCAACTGTCGTGAACTATTCAAGTGTTTTTTCTTATTATAAAGTCGTCGTTGCCTTCTTCTTTCCTTCATCTTCTTCTTCTTCTTCTTCTTCTTCTTCTTCTTCTTCTTCTTCTTCTTCTTCTTCTTCTTCTTCTTCTTCTTCTTCTTCTTCTTCTTCTGCTTCTTCTTCTCATCCTCCTTCACCTCCTCCTCCTCCTTCACCTCCTCCTTCTTCTATCACACGTTTTCATTTATCTCTGTGGTTAGCCTTCTTTTTTTTCTCATCCTCCTTCTCCTTCTTCTTCTCCTTCTTCTTCTGCTTCTTCTTTTTCTTCTTCTTCTTCTTCTTCTTCTTCTTCTTCTTCTTCTTCTTCTTCTTCTTCTTCTTCTTCTTCTTCTTCTTCTTCTTCTTCTTCTTCTTCTTCTTCTTTTCTTTTTCTACTCCTCATCCTTCTCCTTTTTCCTCTTATTCCTCTTCTGCTTCTTCTTCTTCTTCATTTTCTTCTTCTTCTTCTTCTTCTTCTTCTTCTTCTTCTTCTTCTTCTTCTTCTTCTTCTTCTTCTTCTTCTTCTTCTTCTTCTTCTTCTTCTTCTTCTTCTTCTTCTTCTTCTTCTTCTTCTTCTTCTTCTTCTTCTTCTTCTTCTTTTCTTTTTCTACTCCTCATCCTTCTCCTTTTTCCTCTTATTCCTCTTCTGCTTCTTCTTCTTCTTCATTTTCTTCTTCTTCTTCTTCTTCTTCTTCTTCTTCTTCTTCTTCTTCTTCTTCTTCTTCTTCTTCTTCTTCTTCTTCTTCTTCTTCTCCCTCCTCCTCCACCTCGTACAAACATCAGATCGAAGACATACTGGGAGATAACCAAGTGGGTTTCTGACAGAACAGATCAAAAATAGATCAGAGATTTATTTTACGGTAAATAGCAGAGCAAAACTGGAAATATTTAAGAGATGCCCATAATATTTTTGTGAATTTTTAAAAGGCGTATGAAAGTGTACATAGACAAAGTTTATGGAATGCTATGAAGGACTTTTGAATACCAAAGAAGTTAATTAATCACCATGACCAGATATGTGTGGAAGACACTTAATTATAATATAATAATATATAAAAGCAGAAAGTCAGACCCTTTTCTAATAACATCTGGCTTAAAGCAAGGTGATGCTCTGTCCCCACTTCTTTTCAACGTGGCCCTGGAGAAAATCATAAGGAAATTGAAACGACAGTGTACCTTAGGAGAAACTACAAGAATACTTGGATATGCAAATGGCATTAATATCGCTGGAGAAAATGAACTAGAGACTAGAAACACCGACTCTCTTGAAAGAAGCTGCTCACAAAATGTAATTTGTCATCAATCAAGATAAGACAGAATAAATAATAATAACAAAACTAGGAAAGAATAAAATCTTTGGCCACATACAAGTCGATAATATGAAATCAGACGAACGGAAACATAAGTTTCCAGCATGCTTAGAGAAGAAATACAATCTAGAATAAAATATGGAAATAAAGTATAATATGACCTTCAACATCTGTTAAAGTCAAAATCTCTATCTCGCAATACCAAGATCAAAACATATAGAACGTTGATAAGACCTGTCGTTTTATATAGCTCTGAAACTTGGAGCAGCTTGTCGGTGTGTTTATCATTCTGATTCAACAGCTTCAAGGCATCCCCATATATTTATTTCTATGTCTAGGGGAAAGACCAGCTGCGAAGATTCTCAAAATCAATATGTTGTTGAAAAAACCCCAGGTATCAACAATGTGAAGCGTACGCCAAATAAACAGATGGCCTCGTAGATTGTAAATATTGTTCAGGGACACAGCCAGACAATAAAAGAATCAATGATCCTGTTCGTTGAGTCAGTGATATAGCAAGATAAATGGTGCTGCTATTAACGGTTTGGATGCACAGTCACTTATTATGAAACTTTTATGGGATGCGTACTAGAGAATATTTGCTGTGTCTCTTGTGGCGCTTATCCATTTCTTTCGTAGGATATGTACACATGGGTGTTGTCGTTGCCTCTGATAAGACGCTAATCCTTCCAGAAAAAGAGTTAACAGCTGCAGTGCAGAGCCTTTCATGTCTTCTTATTCTTTTCTCTACTCCTGAAATGAGTCGGCTCTGTGGCTAAGTCGATGCGAAAGCTTTGTAATCCCGGGATGCCGGGTTCGATCCCAGCTGTGGGCCATGCGCCTTGCGTTGGTTTCGACAGTGGTATCAATGTGCTAGCGGAAAGAAAGAAGAGGGGAAAAACAGAAAAAGGGGAGAGATAAAAAAGAGAAAAGTATGTTTAAAACAAAAGTAGTAGTTCCCCGCTAAACAACAAAAACAGGAAAGTAAGAAAAGACAGGGGTTCTTCTGCGCAGAGATCCTAGAATATTTAATTGAGACACTAACTATTGATGTCTGTATAATGAGTTACATGACGTCGACCTAATACATGGGTACACACACCTAGACGAAACACGGACTACAGATCATAAATTAAATCAAGCAAATAAATTATGATCACATTAAACAGCTATTTATTTTACTTAAAATAAACATTAGCGTGGTCAACACATAACGACATTAACAACAACAACGTGCTCGACTAGAATCTAAAACGTGAATCATCTCCAGCTAAAAAAGAAATATGATAATGACACCAAACGCTCAGCGAGATTACCTCAACCACTGGCGAAAATCGAAACACATTTAACATATGCGCTAAGCTTCAATATGCCAACAAATCACTTATAGCGACCTACCATCCAACTATCTCTTAGCAGGAATACAAAATGGAAATCAATTATAAAACCATCTAACCAACTGAACGTACCGTGATCAACGGCCAATCTAGCGCCACTCAGCCAGTCCTATCTGACACACCTGTGCGTTGAGACCAAGCAGTCAACAACGACAAACTTTTTACCTCAGCTTCGGCGAAGCCACAATCTGACATTTTCGACCACTACCTCGGCCAAATGCCTACAATGGACATTGTCTCGGCCGCAAGGCCATCGAGAGACATCGCTAAGGCCGATAAACCGTTAGTTGGCCGTTTAAATACCCAGTGGCCAGACTTTTCCAGATTTTTCTTTCTAACTCTAAAAGTTGTTTATCTTTCTTGTTGGTCATTTTTAAACCATTCCAAGATCTTCAGGCTGCTGAACTGTAAGTTTCCAGCCTGTTACATCAAGAAAGCCGACCGTCCAGGAAGCAATGACAAACTACTGGACGTAAAAATGCCTAGAAAAACCGCACAACAGCCAGGGGCTGTTGGGGTTGGTTCTGCAACGTCCTGTAAAGGATACGCAACTAACGTTAACTCCTGAAATATCTAGCAGTCTCAGGGCAGCAATAAATTCCTGGAACGGGCCCTTCAGTTTGCTTCGTATAAAGTACTTTTCCGTGTCTATGATTTTCC